TCACTTGGTAGCCCAGGCTGGCCTCGAACTCACAGAGATCCGCCTGGCTCTGCCTCCCGAGTGCTGGGATTAAAGGCGTGCGCCACCACCGCCCGGCCACAAACCCCATCTTAAAAAAAAAGAAAGAAATAAAATAGTAACAATAAAAAAATAAAAATAAAAAAAGAGATTATTTTATAGATCAAAACGAGGAGCCAGTACCCACAAGACACAACTTAGGACAGTCTTTTATTTAGAGCTGGGACAGAAAGAGGGCTGTGAACCTGCCCCATGGGGTTCACATGTTGCTGAATCAGTTATGTGTACACATTCTCTCAGCTGAGAATGCTTTCACTGTGGGGAAGAGAAAGCTGTGAGGTCTGGAAAACCCCAGTGCAGCCCTTCGCTGTGGCGTGAGATGGGTGCCCAGCGTGAGTAGCAGCGCCTGCTGGCGTGTTTAGACACGGAGACCTAACGGCAACACATGTATGTTTACACTGGATATCATATTCAAGAGGGCATGTAGACAGCATGTGGCCTCGGACACAGTGGCCAGAAGTCTGGCACTTGACATGTGAGAGACGGTTGTCACAACCAGCTGACCTAGCTGAGGTCTCCTTCCAGCAGCCCGGAAGCCCGGAACACACTCCCTGGATTTCCTGTGGGGAGCAGAGCTTGCGACTGTGAGTGGCAGTTCCAGGGAGGGAAGTGTCAGCCCTGTGTGATAAGGGTGTGCTTATGTGTGTTTACCTCTGGACACTTCGGGAACGTGGCACAGACCACGTGTGCCTCTGGGTTCCCCTGAAACAGGTCCCCCGCATTGATTGCTGCCTCCTGCTGGAAGCCCCGGGATTGAGAGCACAGAGACTGTTGGGAGGAGCAAAGCAAAGCAAGGCCGCCTCGCCAGGGTGCTGTGCGGATCAGCCCTGTGCCAGGAGGGAGCACACAGGATTGAGTGGCCTTTGTGTCCCCGTGACTTTGTGGCTGTGGAAACTGTTACGGTGACTCACACGTGAAAGGATCAGCTCAAGCGAGGGAAGTTATTTTGGCCATAGTTCATGGTACCAGTCGGCCATGGTAGAGAAGGCAGGGTATGGGCTTGGTCCTTGGCATGAGTGTGTGGCGGCTGCTTGTTACAGGGTACCGACCAGGAGGCAGAAGTGTGGTCGGGCTGTGACCCTCAAGGACTGTTCTCCGGGGTCCTACTTCCATTGGTTCTCAACCTGTGGGTTTCGACCCTTTGGGGAGTTGAACAACCCTTTCACAGGGGTGACCTGAGACCATCAGACAATATAGATGTTTACATTATGACTCATAACAGTAGCAAAATGACAGTTAGGAAGTAGCAACAAAATAATTTATGGTTGGGGTCACCACAACGTGAGGGACTGTGTTAAAGGGTCACAGTGTTAGGAAGTTTGAGAAGCACTGCTCTAGACCACCTCCTCTAGGTTCTATAATCTCCCCAAATAGTGCCACAACCCGAGGGTCAAGTGGTCCAACACATGAGACCCTGGAGACATAACCAAACAAGACTGACCGTGACTAGTTTGGATTCTGCAAAGGCTCTGTGTTAATCTAATAATCATCACATACTGTGAGAGCCTGCCTTGCTACCAAGATTAAAACATGCTTATGGCATCGTTTGAGAGAAAATAGGGTCCTGGTTCTGGTGATACCGTGAAAGAATTCAGGTGATAAAACAGTAGCAAAAATGAAAGTTTACTAGAAGGAAGGACAGAACACATGAGCATCACGAGCTCTAGGCTCCTTTTGGTCAGGGGGCTGGGGTCTATGGGGTCTAGTCGAATGAAGAGACCGGGTCTACATGCAGTTTTGAAATCGCTTTCTTTGGATTTTGGTTTTTTTCTTGTAAACAGCTTGAGTAAGACTTTGTCTCATCCTTTATAGAGGATAGACACCTGCAAGACCGGTGTCCACCTCAGCTACAGTGGACAATGCTATATTCCCAGGATTCCGAGCTCTGACCTTTCTTGACCACTCCTGTCCGGCTGGTGACTTACACTGTCCAGTCACAGACCGGAAGCTCTGACCATGTTGGTAATTTTAGGGTGGCCGCCCTCAGGCTGCGTCTGCAGGTACAGGTCGAGCCTGCGAGAGGAGAGTCTCCGTCCTTGCTGCCTGTGGAACTAAACAATTGTGAGGTCGTCGTCGTCGTCGTCGGTAGTTTTCTCTCGTGGTATTTGTGTCAGGCGTATGATCTATGACGAGCGGGTAGGTAGAGGAAAATATGTATTGTTTTAGTCCTACAAAAGGATAAAGAGTCCCTTCCCTCTTTCTGCAGGGCCCGTCATGGAGTTTGATTATGTGGTCTGTGAAGAATGTGGGAAAGATTTCATGGACTCCTATCTTATGAACCACTTTGATTTGCCGACGTGTGACAGCTGCAGGTGCTTGTTTTCAGCTTTAAAACCGCCGTTTGTTTCCGGGGGGCTCGAGGCTGAAGCCTGCCTTCTAGACAACCCAACTCTTGAGCCGCGCCTCAGCAATAGAGACTCACTGAGCTGTCCAGGCTGACACTGAGTCTGCAGTCTTCCTGCCTCAGCCCTCCAGGTGGCCATCTTCTCCCTGGTCTCTGCCCCCCCCCCCCCGCCCCACCGCCGCCCCCCCCTTCCCCATCTTGCACCTCTTGATTCTCGGCTCTCTAGAGCAGCAGTTCTCAACCTGTGGGTCACAGCCCCTTTGCAGGTCGAACAACCCTTTCACAGGGGGCGCCTAAGACCATCAGAAAACCCAGATGTTTATATTACGATTCATACCAGTAACAAAATTACAGTTATGAAGTAGCAATGAAAATAATGTTATGGTTGGGGGTCACCACAGCATGAGGAACTGCATTAAGGGATTGCAGCGTTGGGAAGGTTGAGAACCACTGCTCTAGAGAATTTTGCTCAAAACTGTTCAGATGGTTTTAATTCCATTTAGAGTACGTCTTCACCACGACTGCAGGTCCCCAGTTGCCTCTTACTACCTCTTCCCACTGTTTGCCCTCGGTTACTGTGTGTGTGTGTGTGTGTGTGTGTATGTGCGCGCGTGCGTGCGCGAATACATGCGTGTGCGCCATCCAACCTACCCAGCAGCTTCTGCAGTGTGGTTCTCTACATGAAAGCTTTTTTCCTGCCCAATTCATGGGCATTTTATAAACTCTGTGGTGCTTCAAGTTCCCACTCTTTCTCTGTTTTTACCTTTTTGTTTTTGTTTTCGAGACAGGGTTTCTCTGTGTAGTTTTGGTGCCTGTCCTGGATCTCGCTCTGTAGACCAGGCTGGCCTTGAACCCATAGAGATCTGCCTGGCTCTGCCTCCCGAGTGCTGGGATTAAAGGCAAGTGCCACTGCTGCCCGGCTTACCTTGGTTTTTGAGCCTCTAGAACCCAGCTATGTTTAGGAAATAGGACCTTGTGTGCTTATATTTCTTACCATCTTTTTGAGGCAGGGTCTGTGTACCCCAGGCTGGCCTTGAACTTTAATCCTCTTTCCTCAGCCTCCTGAGTGCTGGGATGATAGGCATGAATTACTACTTCTGGTGACCTTGTAATTCAATTTATATTTTCCTTCTCATGAGTCTTTTTTTCATTGCATCTTCCCTATTCTGTTCTTTCTGGAATAAGAAACTTCTTAAATTGTTATATACTAGAGTCTGCTTGAATTTTTATGACTGATCATAAGAACCAAAGACAGGGAAGTGACGTTTGAACCTTTAGTGTGCAGACCTGCAGTTGCCGGGTTGTCTGGAAACTAAGTTTGATTAAAGTCTATATAATGCTCTTAACCTCTTTCCAGAGATGCTGATGACAAACACAGGCTTATAACCAAAACAGAAGCCAAGCAGGAATACCTTCTGAAAGACTGCGATCTCGAGAAGAGAGAGCCTGCCCTTCGGTTTATCGTGAAGAAGAACCCGCGTCACGCACAGTGGGGCGATATGAAGCTCTACTTAAAGTTACAGGTCTCTAGAGAGCGGGACTCGGGGAACTGACTAGTTATTACTAACAGTGGTTTGCTCACACAGGACAGATAATCCTTTTCTCTGTTCACACGTCCATCCTAGCCACAGCTAAGAACCGCTCGGAACACAGCACTTTCTCATCTCGCTTTTGCTGTGCTAACTTTGGCATAAACATGTTGCTAGTGGGTGATGTTAGGAGTATAATTTGGACACTAAAAAAGATTTAGAAAGGGTCAGACTTCATTTGCCTATCAGTTCCTTTATCAAACAAGAAAAAGAAATGCTCTTAAGATGATTAGCATTTCTGTTATTTCACAAACTCCTGAAACCTAGCTGTATTGGGAAATAACTCTGGAATGCTCCCGAATGCCCTAGGACTTGCACAGCTCTGAGCAGATGACATGTGGGCCATGGCAGAGACCCACTTACTGGTGTGCTCTAGAGTCCCAGGTGTCCTCCTGTATCTACTCCAGAATGGCTTAAATATTGTAATTTTGGTTCCATTATAGGAAAATATAAAAAAAAGTCATTGTTCTAAGGCTATTTATACAGGAATATGCCAGAAGATATTCTAGTATTATTAGATAGTTATATATTTGTATACAATTTATATATAATATATAATAAATCTAAATATATAATTATATACAAATAGATATGATCATATATTTAGATATCATTAGATATAAATATATAATATGTTTAGGATAATTAGATAATTACATGTTATACTCATCTATAAATAGAATTAAGCCACACTGTAAAATAAAACCTGTACTGAATTTCATTAAATATATGATTATTGATTTAAAAATTCACCACTTATCTTAGGTATTATTCAAAATAAGTAAAAATGATGTGGTTGGAGCAGCCTCGGCTTCCCCATCACTTGGTGCTTTGTCTGTTAATCACTTGTTAATGCAAGTGCCAGCAGGCCTTATTTCAGCCTCGAGTACCGCACTCATGCACACTGGTAGGAAACAAGACTTTCATGGCATTTCCTGCCCCTCTTGACCCTGTGATTGGATTTTACATTTTCTTCTCATTGAGTCTTTTCTTCATTTACATGTCTATACTCAACTCTTTCTGGAAAAAGTGGGGCTCGAAGAGAATTCTTTAGCTGTTCAAGCACATGGTTTTGCTCCTAATGTGACCTAATGGCATCCGTGAGCTTGATAGTTAGGACTTTGAACTGTGCAGCTCTGAGCCCCAGGTAACTGAAGTACTAACTGTGCTGTAGGTTGTAAAGCGGGCTCTGGAAGTTTGGGGCAGCCAGGAAGCCCTGGAAGATGCCAAGGAAGTGAGGCAGGAAAACCGAGAAAAGATGAAGCAGAAGAAGTTTGACAAAAAAGTAAAAGGTGAGCGGCGGGATTTCCTGTCACTTGGCTCGTCACAGAGCAGGAGCGCGGGGCCTCCTGTCTGGAAGGGGCTGGTGTTGTGTCCATAGCGGGAGAAATGAGCTTGGGCGTCGTTTCCGTGTGGCCGTGGTGGCGGGGTGGGGTATCGGGATGAGGCATCCTCGGGATGAGGGGGGCCTGCCTGCAGTGTTTAAGAAAACAGCAACAAAAAATAACAAGACTCTCAGTAGACGCCTCTCTCACTGCCTGAAACAAAAACTGTGAGCTCAGCAGCTGCAGATTCAGTAGCTAGGAGTCATTGGTAACCGTTTGTCTGGGCGTCTTTATTTATACGACTAAGAAAACACCCAGAGAGATGAGGGGATGGTGACCTATGTTGGGACAGTTGTCAGGTTCTCTGACTGAGTCTACATGTGTACAGTCATCCCTCTGTCTGTGTGCCTGTCTACATGCAGCAGTCCACTCCCTGTGGACCTGGCTCTGCATCTGTTATCCATGTGTGACTGTTTTCATGAATCCATGCACACATCTAGTATTTACCATGTGCCAGGTTAGCACTGTGCTAACCGGGAGAAACTTGTGATAGAGTGTGGGTGTGGCGCCACACCAGGGATGAACCCAGGGTGTGGCAGGAGCACTCGGGGCTATAAACAAAATCCCCCCAAGAAGGGTCTTCGGGAAGTCACTGGCACATGCCCTTCATTTGGTCGCTATGTAGAGTCCCTGTGTGGTGCACACTGTGTCTAGGTAACATGCATCCTGCCTGTAGGATGGGTTATACATTTACTGGATCCATTTCAAATCAGTATTCTAGCCATGTTAATTTTTCTCAGGTTTTAAAATTTAGAAGAGGTTTTACAGGGTGACTAGGATAGCCCAAATGTCTTAAAAACCAAGAAAAGGGAGTGGGGGTACAGGTCTGTAATCCTAGTACTCAGGAGGCTGAGGCAGGAGGATTGTGAGTTGGATGCCAGCCTGGGTTATAGAGTGAGTCCTTGGCTCTCAGAAAACAAAAACAAAACTCCACAACAAAACCTGCCCCTCCAAAACCAACTAAACAATAACAAAAAGCCAACCGATCAGCTAATTAACCAACTAAACAAAACCCCAAACAAAAAGCAAAAGCAGGCAGCACAGGCCTTCCCGGTCTCCTCTTGGGACTGCCTCCCTCCCCCAGTTTCCGCCATAAGAGCACAGGTGGTAGGAAAGGAGGAATGAAGTCCTGCTCCGTTTTCCACCACCTGGTCCTGAGTGACCTTTGACGCTCCTTTCCATGTGCAGACTTAGACACTGGGAAATGAAAACGGTAGTACTGCTGAACACAAGAAGTACATCAAGACAACCTCACTGAAACCCTTTTGTACAAGTGACTTACTTAATTCCTGGGCAGATAGGAAGCCACTTGTAAGGCTTAGCTGAGGTTTCCTGTAGCAGACTGCCACAGGAGAACATTTCCTTGAAGTTCCCCAAGCCAGCCAGAGCTGTGCCCCAGCATTCAGATGCCAGCAGTGACCCACGGAGAAGCGTTCCTCCTCTTCAGCTGGCCCGTTCTCTAATCTTTGCTAGTGTTTTCATAGCCTCTCCTCTAACAGCAGAGCCACGGTTAATGCAAGATAAAGCAGTGAAGAGGTGCGTAGTGAGGAAGGGGTGTGGAAGGAGGCCTCCGGGTTATCTGCTGACTCGGTGTGTGCACGCGCGTTCTCTCGTGTGCAGTGTCTGTGTGCAGTGCACACATGAGTGCATGTGCATTTGGGAGCTGGAGGCCATCTTATGCCTTTGTCTCTTCACTGAACACAAGGCTGGCGTTGGCTAGGCTGGCCGGCCAGTGAGCTCCCAGGGGCCCGGATCCACTGTCCTGTGCACCTCTCCACTCCAGTGCGAGGCTAGAGCAGCTATGCTCGCTTTTCAGTGTGGTGCTGGGGAACTCAAACCCACTTCCTCATCCTGCACTCTCTCTCACCCACGGAGCTGGGGGATGCTCCGATCACTGCAGTGTAAGCCATCTCCCCGCCCCAGTCCAGGGTTTCAGTCCAGCTGCTAGAAATCAGCCTGACCCTCCCGTCCTCAGGTGATACCTTAGTGCAGACAGTGAAATGTAGATAAAAGAATAAGGACCCATTAGAAATCTCTATCTGCAAAGTGACAAAGAACATTTTAACTTTTCCTTAGACACTAATTCTGTGGTCTGGTCAAGATGTCATGTAATGGTAACTTAATTCCTACAATTTGACTAGTAAAAGACTTATGAGATGCACTTAATTTCTTGCCTTTTTAATATGATTCTATTAGGATATGCATATATATTAATACAGATAGAAATTTTCTACAATTTCGAAAACATGAACTCAATTGGTGTTTACTTTTTGGTCGTTGTATTAGCTCACCAGACAAACTACCATGGAGTTTCCTCATTGCTTAGTTGCGGTTGATACAGGTTCTTTTGAAGATTGATTTATTGGGTTCATCTGTTTGGGTGAAGCATGCTTTTTAAGGGAATGTTTGTGCGAGTGTGTACTCTGCACGTGTCTACAGATAAAAGAGTGCCTGCCATTTCCCCCTTCGCATATGACTGTGTGAGTTCTGGGCGGCCTGCGTCACCTCCTTACCTTGGGCTGTTCAGTGTGCTGAGGTCAGTACGATGCTTTCTTTAATTGTGGCTTCTTTGATTCACTCTAGTGCTTGGTGGATATGTTCCTGTCCTGACTAGGCCACAGAGGGCTGAGTGGAGTAGACTGTAGAGTAGAAACGAGAAGCTGATTGTGCAGTTTGCTCAGAGCAGACAGGAGTCAAAGCAAGTCGAAAGGCTTTTTAGGTGGAAAGAAATTGGAACATGGTTCCTCTTGATGCACAGCGAAGCAGACATAAAGCTTTCTTCTTTATGGGAAGGTAAGCAATTCTATTTGCCTGCTCTTAACATATGGTTTATGTTAGCAGCTACAGCACTGAGTCCGCTACAGAAAAAAAGTGTAACACCATCAGTACATACAAACAAACAAGGTTCCACATCTCCGAGCCAGAGCCAGACGCAGGCTTGCTACTGCTCAGGGTAACTGGATTTCAAAGGGCGCGTCACCTAGTAGCAGACAAGAACCCTGAATTGGTTGACACACAGAACGTCTTTGGTCTTCAGGCTTTCTTGCCTTAAATGAGGTGGGACTATGGGTGTTTCTTCCATGTTACATGCTTAGTTCCAACACTTTTCTCCTGAAAGGCTAGTCACCTAACCTTCATTGTTACTGTGCATGGTCCTCACCCCTGCAAGGGGCAGGTAAGGACATCCCATTGGAGGTCCCTTCTGAGTTTGTGGACACTGCACACTGGCCTGTGGATTTATTTGTGACTGTTGTGGAGCTTCTCTGAGGAGTTTGAGAGGTACACCTCCATCCTATTTAGTTCATGGAACACAAGCTTGTAATCTTTTTCCTCCAGGTAACAAGGGTACCCGCCCTCCCACCCAGCATGTACAAGTGTTGGGTCTCCCTCAGCTAGCTCTTCTGTACGATGACCTCAGAAGCAGCACTGTGTTTGACTGCAGACTGTCTCTTTTGCAAAATGCAGCTACTAGAAACAAGCTTTGAAGTGGTATTGATTTTTCACAACAAGCATTTTGGGGAAATCTCTTTGGCTGAACATTCTAAGCAGTTTCTGAGGCTCTCAGTAGCAAGACTGGTTATTCATTCCCAGGAAAGGTGGTCTCTGGGCATCAGCCATCTACTGCCAACAGGACTAGGAGGCTGCAACATGGCAAGCCACTCACCATCTGGTTCTCCAGCCTCACTCAGGCTCCAGTTTTGTGTAGCATATGCACCCTGGTTTCTTCCTGGGTGTTAGACCTGACCCTGCTTTTGTGTACTCGAACCTTTGTATCTCAGAGTCAATGAGAGAGCATTGACTGCTACGTTCATGAGGGTTGTGAAACCCACAAACTTTCCCTTAAATTTTTTTGGGGGCCAGTGAAATGTCTCAGTGGGTAAATGTGCTGGCTGCCAATCCTAATAACCTGAGTTTGGTTCCCAGAACCCATTTGGTGAAAGGAGAGAACTCACTCCTGCCAAGTTGTCCTCTAGCCTCTACACGTGCACCATCGTGGAAGTGTACATGCGCGCGCGCGCGCTCACACACACACACACACATATGCGACACATGAATGAATATGTGTACAAACACCCCAGATATTTTTCCAAGTGTTGGCATTTGGCTGTTTCTAACCTTTTGCATTTGCATAATTTGCTAAGCCATGAGTTACCTGTAAACACTGCGATTCTTAAAAAGCTCTGTGACTCAAAGCTCATCACAATCAAGAGACTTAAGAGCGATTATGCAGTATATAATGTTTCCCATCGGTCGTCCCTGCGCCCTCTCTCACTCCCACTTGTTCGGCCCAGGAGCTGCTAGGGTGGCACCTTTAATGTCACCCTCAGCTCTTTCCTTTTCCCCCAGCACTGTGCAGCGCGCACACCAACTGCGGGACCGCACACTCCTGCCATGAACTGCTCAGCATCTTGTCTTTGCCCCATTAGATCGGGCTGCAGGTCTGGGGGAGGAGCACTTCCTAGGAGATAAGGACAGACACCACGTGAGACCTGCGAGTTTTTTGAGGCGGGTGACAGTCATCATTCTCCACTAAACTTTCTTTTTGTGATTACACATGACACTGTGGATATAGCACCATTTTACTCAGTGGTTTTAGTACATGGAGACAAGTCTTAGCTGAGCTAGTTTGTGTGCCTATAAATAGGGGTTGTTTTCTTTTGAAACAAAATGCTTTCCCTTGGGTTCTACTCTTGTTTTCTTGAGACAAGGTTCATGTAGCCTAGGGTGGACTTGAACTTGTAACAATCCTCCTGCTTCTGCCTCCCAAGCACTGGGATTACAGATGACCATCACCATGCCTGTTTTGTTTTGAGGGAGGAACTCACTGTGTAGCTCTGGCTGACCTGGAACTTACTATGTAGATGAGGCTGGCCTCCAGTTCAAAGATCCCCCTGCCTCTGCCTGCCAGGTGCTGAGACTAAAGGCGTGTGCTACTGTGCCTGGCCCTTGGGTTTTGGTTTGTAAGCCTCTTTGGACTGACTTGTGGATTCTTCCCAGGTCACCGTAGTGCAGGTGCCTCCTGTTCTTCATTTTGATTCTCAAACTGACTCAGGTTTGGCCAGTGGAGCCCCCTTTAAGCTGGTGCCTGTCTTGTCCTAAAGCCCTTTTTATTTGGAAAGAATTTCAGAAAATGGCTAGAATAGTGGGACAGAGGCGCGGGCACGCACACCCGCACACCTTCCCCAGACTAGCTGTTGCTCCTGCTGCCATTTGGATCATGTGTGTGCTCTCATGCTCTCACTAAAAACATTTTTTTCTGAACCACGTAAGAGTATGTTGCATAATCACCACCCTGTATGTGTTTAGTTTCCTAACAATTTTTTTTTACTAGTGTGACATTAGCAAACCTAGTATTTAGATTTTAATCTGAACTATGTTCTTCTTTTGCTCGCTAACTGAACCATATTTTAATGTTCCCCTTCTAGAGAGGGCTTGGTGTAGGCTAACTAGGTATTACACAGGTCTTCCTTCCTCACCGGATTTTCACCACCCCTGCCTTTTATGCCACGGACACTGTTGAAGTCTGCTCCCTTCTTCCCCGCACTGTTTTGGGGAGTCAGGCTTTTCACTTTTGTGGATTTTCTGCTAATGCAGAAATAACTGCACGCTAAGTATCTCAGGCAGGTGCTAACCCTTCCAGGGCCTCACGTCTGGAAGATACACAGTGCCATCTGCTCTCAGTGGTAATGACTTGGTTTTTATTCAGTAAGCCAAAAGAAACAGACTATGCAAACCACCCCTCCCAACCCCAATTCAGCAACTGTCCACTGGCGGCGTTGCTGGAACCAGTGCTGCTGGGATGGCTCAGGGAACAGCCTGTTGCTCTAGCTCTCCCCGTCAGTCAGCATTCTACAGCACTGTTATTGGTAAGGACTCAGATTTGGTCCATTGGGGATCTTACCATATATGGGCTGCCGTCTATGCCCCTGACAAGCTGAACATGCACAAAGCATGTTTGTCTGTTCTTGTGTGTAAGAAAACCCTGAGTGCATACTGATATAGCCCGTTTTAATCCTCCAAATTTCAGGGCTCATTCTATGCAGGGAGGAACCTGAGAACCTGGCTGCATAATAGAAAGGAAGTGATGCATCTTCCATCATTGCACTTCCTGTCCTGGTGGCTCCTTAGCCCTGAGCACGCCGCTCCACTCCCTGTCCTTAGGCTTTGGACCGCTTGTTTGGAAAAGGAGAGAAGGGCAAAGAAAAGCCAAACTGAACAGCAGAGCGGGTTAGACATCTCTAATCTGAAAATCCAAAGTGCTCCAAAAAGAAATACTGCCAGCAAGGAAACCCCATGCCCAGGCACTAGAAATACATCAGGTACATCAAGCTATATGTTTTGTTAAGACTCAGGTCCCATCAGACATATTCTGTATATGCAGATTTTTCAAAATCTAAAAGTATCCACCAAACACTTTCAAGACTTGGCTCCGTGATGCCCAGCCTGTGCTTCCACCTCTACCAGGAATGTCTGTGAGAAGCACTGCAGGTCCAGCCTTATTCTAGTGTAGTTAAATAGCTCGTTGTCACAAAAGTGACAACGATGGGGCTGGAGAGATGGCTCAGAGGTTAAGAGCACCGACTGCTCTTCCAAAGGTCCTGAGTTCAATTCCCAGCAACCACATGGTGTCTCACAACCATCTGTAATGAGATCTGGCGCCCTCTTCTGTATACATAATAAATAAATAAATCTTAAAAAAAAAAAAAAAAAAAAAAAGTGACAACGAAAATGTCAGTCTTCAGCCATGGCTGAAAAGATAGTTTTTCATGTACGTAGTACATCTGAGAAGAAAATAATTCTTACCTCTTCCTCAAGTACATATAATATTCAAATCTGGCAGAGAAGGCAGCTTAGTCTGATTGTACTGCAGCCTAATTTTGAGGGACTTTTCACTGTGGGAAGTCAAGGAGAGTGGCAGGCTGTCTTCCCCCACCCAAGCTGAGAAGCAGGAACCCACAGAGGAGATGTCTGCTGCCCCTCTGCAGACAAGAGGCACACTGACTCACTCAGGTAGCAGAGAGCAGACTTGATGATATAAAATGACGAAGATTAGAGTGTAGATGACTGACTTTCCTAGCAGATGCTGCACACACTGAACCTTGTAAATCTCAAAGTGGTGTAAAGGCAGCAGGACCCAAGGAAGAATGCTGCCCAGGGCCAGGATGATCCCAGGGACCTAAGCTGGACTGTACACCTGCTCATCAGCCCACTTTTGCCTTGGTTTGCCTATCTGTAAAACACTGGATGCAGCTCTCTGTAATTACCCAAGAGATGTAAAGTAAATGCATCTTAAGTGCTTAGCCCAGTGTCCAGTATGTCACCCTGTCTTGCTGTTACCCGTGATACTGTGATTGGAAACAAAGATTCAAGTAGTGCTATGATATTAGTTACAAACCATCTCAAGGAAAACCAGCAACCCCTGGAATCTGAAGTTACTGGTTGTGAGCCAACTGGCATGGTTGCTAGGAATCAGTCTCAAGTCCTCTGGAAGGGCAGTATGAGCTCCTAACCACTGAGCCACCTCTCCAGCCCTTGGCAGTCTGTTTTTAACAACAGTGTTGGTATGGAGATGTAGCTCAGCTGACAGAGTAGCATGCATACAGCCAGAGTCTGATCCCCAGCACCACATAAACCAGATGTGGTTCTCATGCCTGAACAGCTGGGAGTGGAGGCAGGAGTGGCCATAGGCTGCATGGCCTACCCCTGCCTCGACTGTCTCAACAGAAGCAAAGACAGTGCTGTCATGTGATAAAATAGACATGAGGTCACTGCACGAGCAGGTTCTCTAAGATGGGAACACATCAGCCTACATTAGTCTTGGCTTTCTGGTTTTCCGGTAAGCAGAACTTGACGACTACAGGAGCTCCTGATTGAAAACCTTGGGCTCTGGGCCATTCCCATCCTTTGCTTACCTCAGCTGACTTTGCTGCTCTGGCATCCTGTTTTCTGTCAGATGCCTACCCCCCAGCACCCCCATTCTGTTGTTTTTTGTTGCTAACTTCTAACTAACTCACACAGCCACCTCTGCCAACTACTGCTCAATGATGAAACGAGCAATCGCAGACTCCGCAGGCCTGCCACGTTTGTGGAACCAACTGTTAGAAAGGAAGCCATTATGTACATCACACACACAAATACCAACGAGAGCCTCGTTGGATCTATTTTGTATTCAACTGAAAACCTTTTTTCCCCTAGAATTGCGGAGAGCAGTAAGAAGCAGCGTGTGGAAAAGAGAGACAGCTGCTCACCAACATGAGTATGGACCAGAGGAAAACTTAGAAGATGACATGTACCGCAAGACTTGTACCTTGTGTGGCCACGAACTGACATATGAAAAAATGTGACTTTTAAAAACAAATTTATATTCAAATAAAGGCTTTGTTCAAATGTACCACAGTGTAGTCTCCACAGAAACAACACTTATACAACAATGTTTTAGAAATGATTGTGCTTAAGGTCTGGCTGAGGGCACAATGTTGCATTTGTGGGAGCCCAGAGCAGGCCATTTACTAACTAAAGAAAAAACCCTCAGGTAATGGATATGCTTAGAGAAAAAAGGTACACATGTACACGCCCCCACCCGTGTGCCCCTTTCCTTTGCACACACGAAGTGAAAATAAAAGTGACAGGCTAGAGCCACTCCATGGGAACAGGGACCGGTAAACCGTAGCTTGGCATAGGAGGAAGCATTTTCAGGTGAAGTTGGTGGAACTGACCTTAGCTCAAGAAGCCAGTAGGTCTGATGATGTAAACCGCTGTAACGTTTCCAGATGTAAACTGCTGTAACGTTTCCAGCAGTGGCAACAGAGAGCTGTCACTACAGAAACAAGCTCCCAGTCACAGCAGGAACCACCAGGACCAGTTTATGTTTGTGGTTTGGGGAGAAAATTATTTGTGTTGGGAAGAATGTTATGGGGGTGGGGGGAATTGAGTTGGGGGTTATTTTCTAATTTTTTTTTGTACATTTGGAACAGTGACAATAAGTGTGCCCCCTTTAAAAAAAAAAAAAAGGTTCAAGACCTCCATGCAGCAATTTGGGAATGCTGGGTCAGAAGGAAAAAGGCTACTTTCAGAGCTGAGTATCCGACTCTTCCATCCAAAGCATTCATTCACCTTATCAGCTGAGTGCTCTCACCTGCCTTACAAGCTCTCACCTAGCCCAGGGAGAGGTAACGACTTGCTTCCATGCTTTTTACCAGTTCTGAGGCAGGAAGTGACAGTTGCAAAGATTACCTCTCCATAGCTATTTGCATCAGTTCAGCTACCCAGACTTGTCTTCAGTCTGGTCAAAAATATTACCAAAAGTACCATTAATCAGCTATCAGAAGCAACCATTATACATGAAGAAAGGACCAAGAGAAAGAGTGGGTGGTGGTGGCACTCAGGAGGCAGAGGCAGGCCGATTTCTGTGAGTTCAAAGCCAGCCTGGTCTAAGAGTGAGTTCTAGGATAGTCAGGGCTACACAGTCTTGAACCAAATAAATAAGAAATCAAGCAAAAGAATACATACAAATTTCTCTAGACTGTAGCTCAAGTAGAACTAGCTGAGGTCAAAAGCTGCTTCAGGGAGAGAAGGCATTCCTAACTAATATGTATTGTTTAAGCATCAGCAAGGAGGCATACTCTTAAGAACTGTTTAGCCAAAGGCCATACATCATTTTGACAAAAACCCAACTTGAGATAAAGTGGGCACTTCTATCCCTCAGATGCACTAGGAAGCTTGTGCAGCTCACGCTTTAGATCAACAGTGCACATTAGACTTGTAGGAAGGCCAAACAAAAAGCAAGTCAACCCCAGATAAACATGTGGTTCTTTAGAAACACTGCTGTAGAGATGTGCTGGGGATGTCTTTCTGTATGCTGTGAATGTGTTGCTCTGACTGACTGATAAATAAAACGCTGATTGGCCAGTAGCCAGGCAGGAAGTATAGTGTAGGCAGGATAAGCACAGAGGAGAATTCTGGGAAGTGGAAGGCTGAGTCAGTAGACACTGCTGCCATGAAAAGTAAGATGTCAAGTATCAGCGGCAACTTATAGATTAATAGACACGGGTTAATTTAAGATATAAGAAGAACTAGATAGCAAGAAGCCTGCCATGGCCATACAGTTTATAAGTAATAAAAGTCACTGTGTGTTTACTTGGATCTGAGTGGCTGCGGGCCCCAGTGGGACTGGAGAAATCTCCAGCTACAGAGATGTTCTGTGTGGTTTTCAAGGCAAGCCTTTCACATGTGCTATGCTAAATGTTACAGCTGAGTAAAAACAGATCCCGGATGGGAAACCAGACTTCTTCCAGCAGAGAGAAGTTTCCCTGATGACAAGAGGAACTTGAGGTTCAGGCGGCTGTTAAGTATTACTGCATTGTGGAGAGATAAGGTGCTCCTGAGACACATGGATTTAACTTTCTGGCTGTGGACTTCAGGCAAGGTTTCCTGGGGTTTGCTTCTATCTGTGAAGTGGGCACAGTCATGTGTCAGAAATCTGCTGGAAAGATTTAATATACTGAATTGGGTAACCAGCATGTAGCAGCCAATAGTTAACACTCACTGCCAAGGCCAACACAGTGAGATCTGATTGGCTGTATGCTTCTCTTCTCTGGCTGCATCAAGGTTAATCCTGGGGTCCAGATATCACTGGTAGCCCAGGGTGGCAAAGGCATTTCACACACCGTTCACTTTTAGGAATGATATAGTTCTTATGGAAGAAACATGTCCACCTTGACAACAGCCTGTTAAAGAGCACCAGCACACCACAGGACCTGTGAGGTATGGCATGCAGTGACATGCCACCCGTCTATGGAACACCACCAGAAGGGAGCAGCTGTGTTCTGCTTTTGCTGCTTTTCTTCTGTGAGATACAACTCTGTCCAGTCTTGCAGCCGACAGAGCAGGACAGAGCAGGGCATATGAACAGTTTCTAGAAACAACCACCACACAGGAGGATCCAGAAGGGTAGGAGAGCACAAGCTCCTCTAGCTGTAGAGCAAGGATAACCAAATTCCACTGTGCCTCAAGAGAGGATACAGCTACCAATGCCTTCAATAGTTAATTCTTCACCTGCTGGAGGACCAGAGCCATTTTAAATAATTACAGCATTAGCTGTGTTCAATGGGAAGGAGGAACAGTGTAAATAAATAAAGATATTTAGCCAATAACCCAGGTTTTGTCTTTCTGAAGTACCTGCCATCTAACCTTGATCTACTGAATTTAAATGATTAGATGATCCTCCTGCTTTAAATATGGTACTTAAAAAGCCTAGGGATTCCCATTATTAAGAAATTATATTCTATAGCCACTAAAATGTATGGTAACGAAAGACTCATATATCCAGACAACTGTAATGTATACTTACTAGGATGTAACATGTACAAAAAGATAACAAATATACAAAATTACTACCAGTAATTATATCATTACTAGCAGATTTTTCTAAGGTTTAATAGAAGTTTAAAAATCTCAGAAATTTGGAATGTCAGATAATGCATTATTTTACAAAACACTCATTTCCCTTAAGCCTCAATAGGCTCAGGGATCAATTATCTTCCCAGGACCCACAGAGCCAAGCCCTAAGCCACCCTGAACTCCAAGTCCACCTCAGCTCAGTTATCGCCAGCTGCACATCAGTTTGTGACATTATAGGATCGTGGGCAAATCCTTCTTAGAGGTGCAGGGCACGACCAGAAGCTTCTCAACAATGGCTGCCAAACCTGCAATCACCTGAGAGGTAGAAAAACTGCTACCACCACCACTGTACCTTGAGATCACAGTTTAAAGAATGCTGGGTGACTTCTAGTTAGACAAATTTGAGGGTTAGTACTAATAACTTTCTATACTAACAATTAGTGTCATAAGATGGCTACTTGAAAACATTTGCAAGAAATAGCTTCGGATAGAGGCTAGTATGCCTTCAGTAAGAAAAGAGACTAAGATAATAAATCATGAAATACCAAAGCTTAAAAAACGTAACTTTATTCCAGCCATGTTACCCAGGAGCAGAGAAAAGCTAGGCTCCCTGGGGATAGATAGTCCGTTGGTTGTATCTACTACTTTGCAAGCCTGAGCTTGCATTTCACACACCTCAAACCTGTTGTTTGGGCCCTAAGGAGGAAAAGTATCAAATTCATCACAGGAAAGTTGTGTCTCACATATGTACAACGCTACAGTCACCATAACATCGCTGTCATCAAGCAATACTTGCCCTTCAGGGCAACTAAGGGTAATGTCATACTCCTCGCTCTCCTCCCCGTTTCCTTTAGGAAGTGAAAGGCTACTACAAGAAAGCAAACATTCAAACCATCAAAAATAAGACAATTATTCCAAGATAATAAAAAGGGAAGAAACATGATGATTAGGCCTGCAGAGCACAGAACTGCTGGAACACAGCCAGGATGTGAGGGTCCAACTCGGCAGTAAAAAGCAGGTTCTCCAGGGTCACCATGTACTGCTGGATTATCTGGTGATGCTGCGGACACAGAGAAGAGGCTTGTGTCAGGAAACCGAATGCAGAAACCTTGCACAACATTTCCCTCATAGCCCACCTATGCTGAGG